AGGTGAGGACCTTGGGCGAGAACATGCTAGGCAGAAGGAAAAAGCATGTGGGCCCCAGGATGAAGAGGGGCTTGGTGTGTGGAGGAACAGCATGACCCATCCTCTTTTGAAAGAAGACCACCTGCATTGGGATCTCTTCCTATAATCCTTCTCCGTGGGAGCCTAGCAGATAACGTATACACCAGTCCCGAGCTTCAGCCTTTGCCCACCGCCATATATGTTGCCATATCCCTACATGTGCCACCATCCCATTATCGACTTCTTTCTTTAAACTGACTCTATAAATGTGTATGTAAAGGAAATGATATCACTTCATAAATGGAAAACTAGTGTCACTTGCCAAAGAAATGAGGTCTTCATAAAAATAAATGCAAAAATATAAAATTAAAAAATGCAAAAATATAAAATATAATTTATGTAAAACTTAAACTCACTCCTTGGACTGCCCGAGTTGCATGTACCACACTTTCCTTTTTACTCTACTAGGTGACTCACCCCAGACCACCTTTCTTTATTGCCCAAAATCTTACAAGTGAGAACCACTGATAATAATTGGATGCATTTTGCATGGTGCCATTTTGCCCCCACCCCCACCCCAGGGAACATTTAGCAATGTCTGAAGACATTTCTGGTTGACACAACTGAGGGGGGTTACTGGCATCTAGTGGGTAGAGAATAGGGATGCTCTTAAACATCCTACAATGCACAGGACAGCTCCCACAACAAATAATTATCTGGTCTGAAATGTCAATAGTACCAAAGTTGAAAACCCTGATTCGGATGGAGATGTGACCCACAAGGTGGGATTCCAGGGCCACCGTCTGTAGCTTCCATGCCCATAATTCAGTGCCCCGGAGTGTCTGAGAAAACAGTGAGCTCAGCTGGAATGGGGAGCTCTGAGACCAGACTGTGGAGCTCAGCACCTAACACTGGGAATAAGGAAGCTCAGAGAGGGAGCTGAGCTTCTTCGTGCAGGAAATGGAACTGACACAACAGGCTGAGATTGACATGCATGACTGTGACTGATGAAGGCCATCTCTGGTTAATCCTGTAGCATCTTACTGTGATTAACCATGACCTCAAGGCCCAGTCTAGTCTGTAGCCCACTAAGAGACGAGTTTCGACTGAGACAGATTGGTGTGTCCAGCTGTCACTGAGGAAGTATGACAGGCTAGCTAAGCAGCAGCAGCACAGGGACAAGAATAGCCAGTCAGACCTTGGTTTGCATCCTAGCTCTGCCACTCTCCAGCTGTGTAACCTCTCTGAGCCTCAGTTTTCTCTTCTGTAAGTTGGGAATACTAATACCTACTTACTAGGGTTAATGTAAGGCTTAGAAGTCACATAAGAATGGCCTGCCCTATGGGTTTTGGACTTACCTAGCCAGCCCGCACAAGCACATAAGCCAATTCTTTGCAATAAATCTCTTAATATATATCTCCTATTGGTTCTGCCTCTTTGGTTGAACCCTGACTGATACAACCACGCAGCACAGAGCTAGGCCCCCAAATAGAATCCATTTATTAATACTATAGTTAATTAAACTTGATCTATATCTACATCTTCATCTGTATGTATATCTAGTTATATATCCAGCTGAGACTTTGTGCCTGGCGCTTCCTACTCCGTTCCAGGGAAACAACAGAGACTAAGACTGTCGTTGCCTACACCGCCTGAGGATACTGGGCGATTATGGCTGGAGGAGGGATCCATGTGGTGGCTACTGTGGCTGAGACTGGTTCCTCTCCACGCTGGGGGCTGGATTTCTGACAATCTGACAATCTCCTCTAGGGCCGAGTGTGGTTGGAAGCTGAAACTGGGTGATAATGGGCCAGAGGTGATACTCAGGTAGATACTGGCTGACCCGGACCATCCCTGAGCATCAGATTGTGGCTACTAGGCAGTCATAATCTTGACCCCAGCTTCAGCAACAATGACTGAGACCAAAGGACCAGTGCTGGTGGATGTATTTCTGGAGCAGGATATGCATAGTTTGGTGAAAGTTGTTACCCATGGCTCAGGAGCTGAAACGTGTAACTGAAAGTGGCAAAAGACGACATTTGATGGGGCGGAACCTGCAGCCGCGGACCGTTCTTCCCGAGACCAAGAGCTCTGCCGGGCCGCTTTCCCCGTCGCGCCCGTCCCGCGCCAAAGCGCGAGAACTTCCGGTGAGTTTCCCCGGTGCCTCAGAGTGGGGAGAGTCCGAAGCTGGTGAGTGCGGCGTCCTGGCCTGTTTTAACTCCTCTGCTTTCGTTGTCTGTGTGGCCCGGGCTCCCTCTTCCCGGCTCCGGATCGCGGAGTGCCCTGAAGTGGGATACCTCTCCGGGACGTACGCCTCCTGGTCTCTGGCCGGTGGTGGGACCCTGGTGGCTCTGCAGGCCTTTCTCCCTAAGAAACCGTCACCAGAGACACCGTCGCCACTACTTCCTGGGGCACCCGGGGTAACTTCGCGCTTTTTTCCCCTAACTTTAGAACTTGGGGGCCGGAGACTGTGGCGCGTCCGACATGGTTATGTCCGACTCTGTAATTTTGGGTAAGGTATTTGCCCAAACCATCCCTTCGTTTCTCATCTACAAAATGGATATCATGTTTTCATTAAATAAATGCTTATCAAGCATCTTTTATGTGCTCGAGGTACAAAAAGGCTCAAGTCTCACGGAGCTGACAGCTGTGTATTAAACATAGGCAAATTTGCAGCCTGATAAATGAAATGGAAAGGTACAAGGTGCCTTGAGAGTGTATCACTGGATACCTGATCTAGCCCCGGGACATGGACTCAAGGAAGCTGGACTGAGGAAATGACAGTTGTGCTGAGATCAGAAAAATGATTTGAGGAATAGGGGAGGGAAGAGTTTTCTATGCAGAGCAGACTCCTGCTTGAGGGTCTAAAAGAGGCCCGTGTGGCTGATACAGAGAGCTTGCAGGGGTGGGGTGCGTGGTGTGAAACAGTCTGGAGGAGTTGCCAGGGACCAGGCAGCACAGACCTTGTAGGGTTTGTAGGTCACGGTAGGAATTCTGGTTTTCCAGGAGCCATATGAGAAGCCACTCAGATGACATTAAGTGTGGGTGGTGACATGCTTAGATTGGCACTTCAAAAAGTTCATTCTGGCTGTTGGATGGAGAGCGGATTGGAGGGGCAGGCACTCTTTGGGTGAGGGACAGGTAACTTGGAGTAAGGATGCGGTAGAGAGAAGCAGATGGATGTGACTTTCTGCATTCCAGGGCATTTTCTCTGTGCCAGGCCATGTGCCAGCTGCTGACGATACAGTGAGGAGAATTATGGGCTGGTGGAATTGGAATAAAGGAATGTCATTATGAAGGAGGAGCACACAGATGCCCCAAGGGAAAATGGCTAATTGATGAACAATTACTCTGAATGCAATAGCTCTTAATTTAGCAAGTATTTATTAATTCTGAATTCAGGGTTAGGAATAAGAAGGTGATGATGCAAATTAGTTAGCAGTGGCTTTCAGACTTTTGACTGTGACCTACAGTAACAAATGCATTTTACCTTATGACCAAAAGTACATACAAACACAAAAAAACTTCAGAAAACAGTTATTATCTTTGTTACTCATGATGCACTCTGATTTTTTTAATTCTGTTCCTTTCATTAAAAAAAAATTAATGTTGGTTGAAACTCTACATTGCTTTCTTGACCCATTAATGAGTTGTGATTTGCAGTTTGAGAAAAAAGTGCTGATTCAGAGTGAGAGTCCTTTGTAGTGGTTTTGGGTTAAGATGATAAAATATGCCCTTAACATTTTTGGAAACTGGTTGGTCTTCCTTTCCTCCCAGTTTAGTTTTAACATAAGAGTAAGAAAAATTAAACAGGCAGCTGGTTCTTCTGTTTGTGAAATTTGGGGGTCTTGTTTGTATATCTGGCTGGGTTAGAAGTGCCTAGAGGGCAGTGACTGTCCTACTCTGTGGATGTTTCACAGATTATTGTTTCACGCAAAGATCCTGGCATAGTGCAGGCGCTCGGTGATTACTTGCTGAATTGAATAGGTAAGTATCTTGGGACTAGAAGGTTAGATAATTGTTTGGATTAAATTAGTTCATGTTGAAACCATTCCTTATAAATACCACCCAGTCAGTATCTGCCTGCATACATGTTTTATCAGTATGGCCTCATGGATAGTTCAGAGGTGGCTAAAATAAGTGTTCTAAGCTCTTTCTCTTCTAAATACTGATCTTGGGCCAGCCACGCCACCTGAATCCATTCTGGGCAAGTGGTCCAGAGTTTCTGCTGACTGTGCACCCTTTGGGAAGTTGTTTAACTCCTTGGACATTAGGGTTTTTATGTGTAAAATGGGAAGAGGAGGTTTGTGGCTGAAAAGCTCTCCACTTCCCAAACCTTTTGTGAATTTTAGATACTGAGCACTCACTTTCCACCTTTTGTCCATATCTGGGCCTTCCTTGTTGCTTATGAGAAATTGGGTATATCCTTCTCAAGTACTTGGGACTCTTTAGCAATCGAGTTTAGGCAGAGGTGTAGTGTAAGACAATTTAGGCACAGTTATAGTTTCGAATAGACCACCCAGGCTTTCCCCACCTTCAGCCTCTGTTTTGTGTGTGTGTATGTGTGTGTGTGTGTGTGTGTGTGTGTGTGTGTGTGTGGGAGAGAGAGAGAGAGAGAGAGAGAGAGAGATGTGAGAGCAGATCCTGAGTGGACAGTGGGAAGAATACTGGCCTGGAGGACAGGGTACCTAAGTTCTAATTTGTGAGACCTTGAGCATGTCACTTCTTGATGTCTTTCTAGCTGTGAAGTGAGTGTTCTTGCTCATTAAAACACAAAATCCTCTTTCTCTGTGAGTCTTATTTTCCTCATTGGTAAAACTGATTAAGGTTTGTGGTGAAGATTAAAGGAGATAATTATGTCAAGGGTCTGATTCAATCTGGCACATGGAGAATCCTCAGCAAATGATGAACTCTGATTTCTTTCTTTTTTCAGTTCTGTAAGACAAGAAGGGTTGTTCTTTTGGTCACGTACCACTGGTCTCATGGCTGCCATGCAGATGGATCCTGAGCTTGCCAAGCGCCTCTTCTTTGAAGGGGCCACTGTGGTCATCCTGAATATGCCCAAGGGGACAGAGTTTGGCATCGACTACAACTCCTGGGAGGTGGGGCCCAAGTTCCGGGGCGTGAAGATGATCCCACCAGGCATCCACTTCCTCCACTATAGCTCTGTGGACAAGGCCAATCCCAGGGAGGTGGGGCCTCGTATGGGCTTTTTCCTTAGCCTGCAGCAGCGGGGGCTGATGGTCCTGCGCTGGAATGCAATTCGAGAAGAGGTAGACCTGTCCCCAGCCCCAGAGGCTGAGGTGGAGGCCATGAGGGCCAACCTCCAGGAGCTGGACCAATTCCTGGGACCTTACCCATATGCCACACTCAAGAAGTGGATCTCACTCACCAACTTCATCAGTGAGGCCACAATGGAGAAGCTGCAGCCTGAGAGCCGACAGATCTGTGCCTTCTCAGAGGTGCTTCCTGTGCTGTCCATGAAGCACACTAAGGACCGGATAAAGCAGAATCTACCTCGCTGCGGCACTGAGTGCAAAAGCTACCAGGAGGGCCTGGCCCGGCTGCCAGAGATGAAGCCCAGAGCCGGCACGGAGATCCGCTTCTCAGAGCTGCCCACACAGACATACCCGGCAGGTGCCACACCAGCAGAGATAACCAGGCACAGCATGGACTTGAGTTATGCCTTGGAGACTGTGCTCAGCAAGCAATTCCCCAGCAGCCCCCAGGATGTGCTAGGTGAGGAGGGACGAGACTCTTTGGGAGTGGGCCAGGGGAAAAGTGTATGGTAGAGGGCTTTAGAGTAAGGGCTGCATCTTGGACTATCTAGTCCAGTGGTTCCTAAACTTGGCTAAGGAAGCAGTCTCACCCAGTCCCCCTGGGGACTGATTCAAGAGATCTGGAGTGGAGCAATACCTGTCTGTCTGTCTGTCTATATAGTAAGCAAGCACCATAGGTGAACCTGATGCAGCCAATCCTGTGTTTGGGAGCCACTGATGTGGCCCAGCCCCTCATTTTACAGATTGAGGTTCACAGATGGAAAGGATTTGGCCAACTATGTGGTTGAAATGAGACCAGAGCCCAGGGCTCTGGGTTCCCATCTGCCTCCTCAGTTCGCTCCTGATTCTCTCAAGGTGTTGGTCTCTCCACTGGCTTAGACCAGGATGGCGATTTAAAAAAAAAAATTTTTTTTTAATGTTTATTTATTTTTGAGACAGAGAGAGATAGAGTGTGAGTGGGGAAGGGGCAGAGAGAGGGGGAGACACAGAATCTGAAGGAGGCTCCAGGCTCCAAGCTGTCAGCACAGAGCCCGACGTGGGGCTTGAACTCACAAACTGTGAGATCATGACCTGAGCCGAAGCCAGGCACCCAACCGACTGAGCCACCTAGGAGCCCCCAGGATGGCGATTTTTAAAAAATTTTTATTGCCTTTCTCCCTTAGTGCAAAAATAATATATGGTCATCAGAGAAGCAAAACAAAAATTCACTCCCAATTCCCACCATCTAGAAATAACCTTTTTTACATTTTGGTGTATTAACTTTTTGTCTTTTATATATGTATGTATCTATGTGCAGTATTTCATTTGAGTCTCTGTATATTTCTATGAATTTCCTTTTAGTTTTTTTTTTCTTCTTAATTATATGTGTTTGTGTGTATATATGATTTTTTACAAAAACAAGATTACAGTATATTATTTTGTTATTTTATAATCTGCTTTAATATAAACATTTTTCTATGTCATTGAAACAGTCCCTCTAATGTGGCTGCTTATGTGCCATAGTTATTGAACTAACCCTCTGTTGATGGACCTTTAAGATGTCCCTATTTTCTCTATTGTGTCATCTAGTGAACATCCTTGTGTGTACTTAGACATACATTTAGGGTTGAAATTGTTCAAAAAACTTTCTTTAACGGTTATTTTTGAGAGAGAGAGAGAGAGAGAGAGCGAGCGAGCATGAGTGGGGAAGAGGCAGAGAGAGAGGGAGACACAGAATCCGAAGTAGTCTCCAGGCTCCGAGCTGTCAGCAGAGCCCAACACGGGGCTCAAACTCACAAACCATGAGCCAAAGTCGGATTCACAACTGACTGAGCCACCCAGGCGCCCCCAGGGCTGAAATTGTTGATCAGAGGGAGCATGTTGCCAGCTGGGGTGAGGCTGGTGTGTATCACCTCTGAAATGGCAATTTAGCAAAGACTGCATGGTTGGAGAACGATGTCTTGTTTCAATTTATATTTCTTTGATTGCTAGTGACAACAAACATTTGTCACACCTTTAACAGCTATTTATATTTTTTCTTTTACAAATTGTCCAGGTATTTGCCTATTTTTCTGTTGGAAGATCAATGAGAAATTTGAATATAGGGTCCTCTATATCATTGGCTCGCTGATGAAAGGGCATGTTTTAATGGGTGCATCTTAATGCATTACACAGTATTATCGTTTAATAAGTAACAGTTGAAATTCTGGCTTAGAAATGAACAGAAATCCTGTTTTCTACCTCTTAAACATTTTAGTTCTTCACAGTAATCTTGTGAAGGGTCTGTTGCAGGGATAACTATATCTTCCTGACAGCTCCTTGAAATTATTTCTGATCTCATAATTTAATTTTAGACTAGGCCAGAAATGCATGAATTCAAGTAAGTGCCCTAAATTCAGAGAATAAGCTCCTGTTTCCAAAACTAACCAGGTAAAGCCAACTGTAGAAGCAAATCATTAACCTCAATCGTACAAAGAAAATTTGTGTCTTGAAAATATCAGTCAACATCTAATATCTGGACCAGGCAGCTAGTCAAACTCAGTTCCACAAGCCTAGGAATAGGGTACTAGTTTTTCAGGTCTCTGGAGGGAACAGAGATCAAACAGCATGCATTTAAAGAGGTACTTGGTGTTGAGTGCATCTGTTCTTTGTATGGCCCACATATAGGTATAACACCACAGAAGCCCTCATTAAATTTGAAGCCAGAGAGAATGTCTCTCATCAGCAACAGTATATCTTGGCAACGAGAGACCCAGTTGCTTGCCCAAGGACAGTGGCTTCTGGATCATCAGGTCTCTTTGTTTGAGACAGGCATCTGGTGGAAATGTGGGAATAATAATAGCCGATATTTCTTGAGTGCTCCTTTGTGCCAGGCATTATTCTAAATGCTTTACATGTACTATACTGATTCATTTAATCTTCACCACAGCCCTCAATTAAGGAAATTGAGGTATAAACAGATTGAGTAACTTGCCCAAGGTCAGACAGCTGTGAAGGGTAGAGCTGAGATTTGAACTCAGGTAGTTTGTTTCCAGAGCTGGTGCTATTTAGCCACAAAGCTGTTCATAGAGATCCAATTACAGAGCCCTGTGGGTAAGCAATTGCAAGTGATTTTGGCTGGCAGGCTAAGCCTGGAACAAATACTCACGAATTTTCCTCTTCTGGGGGGCTCTGGAACTGTTGTCACCCGATAGGAAATCTGTTTTATCTTTCTGTTGTTCCCACTGGCAAGCATTGGATGTGTGACCTTGGGCAAGTCCCTTGACTTCATCTGCAAAATGAGACAAGTACCACTTTCCCTGAACACCTTCTGGAGTTGCACTGAGGATTACATGGTGTAGTACAGCATTTCCCCGGTGCTGGAACAGACCATCTGCATCAGAATCACCCGGGGAGCTTTTTCGAGCTACAGATAGTGACGCTTCATCATCTGTCCTCAACCAGGATCTCCGTGGGTGCAGCTTGGGCAGCTTCATCTTTAATCAGCTCTCCTAGTAATTCTGCTGGGCAGTCAAGTTTGGGATCTGCCTGGCATAATATGCATGAGCACATTTGGTAAACTTCTTAAGTGCCAGGCATATATTAGGTGTACTTCTTTTGTAGTCTGATTTTACAAAACCACAGTTTGGTTTTTCGTGGCTTGAGTTTATAGCAGTTCAGCAAACTTTTACTGAGCATCTGCTCAGTGCAAAACCCCACCTAGTAGGAGTGCTCTGCAGGGGTGCCAGGATACAAGGCCACCACCCATTGCTGAGGGCCAGTAGACTTGGCGGCCTTGTACATTCAGCCGGCACTCCACCATCTCAGGATCATTCTCTCTGTGCCTTTCAGGTGAACTCCAGTTTGCATTTGTATGCTTCCTCTTGGGGAATGTGTATGAGGCATTTGAGCACTGGAAGCGGCTCCTTAATCTCCTGTGCCGGTCCGAAGAAGCCATGGTGAAGCACCACACCCTCTACATCAACCTCATCTCCATCCTGTACCACCAGCTCGGCGAGATCCCCGCTGACTTCTTTGTGGACATTGTCTCCCAGAACAACTTCCTCACCAGCACCTTACAGGTGAGCCATCTTTTGGCTGACACCCATGGGGGTCAGAATTAAGGCTAGGATGGGTGAAAGCATCCTGGGAAGGTTACTCTTTTGTTTCAGTTACCTAACCTCGGGCTGTTTCCTGGTTCTCTCCTCTACTCAGTTGTGAGTTCCTTGATGCCAGAGACCCTCTGTCTGTACCACCATTTCCCTGACTTGCTCCTAGAGTGCCACACAGTGGGGTACTTGGCATTTGAATAACTTCCACCTCTATGAGTTATTCAGCTCAAAACTGTAGCCATAAGTTGGTACTACCCAGTAGGACAGAGTTTTGAAGCTTGTTATTTCCAGGGAAACATCTGCAGCTCCTTAGATCTCATTTAAGCATTAAAGTAACTTTGATTTCCTGTTCAAACAAAACGTGCCAGTTTCTGCAGAGATTCTCTGACCGAAAAAGTGAAATTTGCTTTTAACTTGGCAATTAAATTTTCATTATGAGTGATAATTAGGGAAGAAGCTTCAAACAACTTACAATCTTCATCCTGTGCTATTTCCTCCCTTTGCAAATAGATTAGCTTCCTTTATGTTCTTGGGACAGCCTCTGTCACTCACATTTTGTAAGTTTCTCAAGTGTAGAAGATGCAGAAGCTGTCAATTTCCATACTTTTGTTCCCTGAGCTGCTTTTTTCTCCCTGTGTGTGATACCACTATGAGGCCCACTCCTTACAAGGTGGCTATTCACTAACCTCCCACACCCACCCAGGGTGAGAGAAGGAACGAACTTTCAGGGAATGCCTGTTGAGTATCAGGCATCATGGTTATCATGCTTCTTGGATTCCCTCATTTAATCTCTCCCAAGCCCTTCAAGGAAGGGAGGATTATTTCCTGTTTACAAGTGAGAACATTGAGACTCGAAAGATTAAGTCATTTATATAAGGTCACAGAGCTGGTAAGTGGTAGAGTCGGGATCTGAAACCAGGCCTGAGTCTTGTGCTTATGCCCCTAGGTACTGCATATGACGTAGATCCCCCCAGTAAGGATTCTTGATTGACATTAGTGGAAATACCACCAGGGGCTTGTTTCTCAGGTAGTGGACACTTTTCGAGAAAAAAACATACTGTTGGAAGAATCCCTGTGAGCAGGCAGCTGACAAAACTCTGGCGGTTGGAAGACTTGTGTAGACCATGGGGACAAGTTGGTCAGCTGATGGTTTGAGCCTGGCGTATTCTACTTCAGAAGAGTTCTAAAACTGCTCTTTTACTGGCTATTGATATAACAGAGGAATTAAATCCCTTCATCTTTCCTCCTAAGGGGAAATTCCACCCCCACCCCCACCAAAGTTATTAGGTTGTGTGAGCCAGTAACTGATGAGGGGTGAGAGGGGGCATCCGCTTGCTAACTTGCCTCTGGCAGTGGCCCATGGGAATGACGTGCTACCCTTGTGATGTGCGTTAATGCTGTCACACAAACATAGGAGGGCCACACTGTGTCATTGGCTGTCCTGACCATTGTCAGCACAACCGACAGCTGAGCTCTAATTACTGACGCTGTGTTGCCAACAATGATTTATGAAGCAGAGAGGACCCAGATGGGTTGCTAGATGCCCAAGTGGAGTGTGCAAAGCTGATGGAAGAATTCTGTCTTTGGACTTTTCACCAAGAACATTTGATGTTCATTTTTTAGAAAAATCCAGGACAGGTGCCTTTAAAAAAATAAATCAACACATATTTTTGAGCATCCTGCCTTTATATACAACACTCTGCTGAAGGCGTTGAGGGTTACATATATTAGTTAGTCAGGGTTCCTGCCCTTGAGGGCTTTATTCATTGATTTAGCAGGTATTTGCTGAGCATGTGCTATATTCAAGGCCCTGTTGTAGAACTGGGAATAGAACTTTGAACAAGACAGAGTCCCTGACGTGGGAAAGTAAACAAATGAATTGACTCAAGTCCCTCCAGACAGCATTGTTTAGAAGGCTGTCATGCCCTAGTACCATTTTCCTGAGGCAGGCCTTGAGACCTGTGTGGTCTCATCTAGACTGCATCAGTCTGTCAGCTCCCACGCCAACCCTGGTCAGTCCACCCATGTCTCATGCTGCATCCTGAGTTGCTTCTCTGACATGCGGACATGATCCTACTTCTCTGCATCTCCTTGTTTCCTAGAAAGTTCAAAGCCCAAGCATAGGTCACAAGGCCCATTCTGATCTGGCTCCTGACCTGTTCTCCAGCTTCTCCTTCCTCTCCCTACTTCCCCCATGTCAACTCTAGCAATAGTGGTCTCCCTGCACATTCCCACGTATGCCATGCTATTTCAGGCCTTTTTTTTTTTTTCCCCCGATGGCACAAAACACATAACATGAGATCTACCCTTTTAACACATTTTTAAGTTTACAGTACAGTATTGGTAACTATAAGCACAGCAGATCTCTAGAACTTTTTCATTTGGCACGACTGAAACTTTATGCCCATGTTTCATGCCTTCTTAACTGAACATGATTTTTGTTCTACCCGATGTGGACTTGTTCATCCTATAAGATGCCCTCAAGGCGTTTCTCTGTGAAGCCATCCCCGATCTCTCTCCTTTACATATTATTAGCCTACTTTGGACGTGTTGCTATTATATTGCACAGGCCGTGCATGCTGAAATGTGTACGTTGTCTGCCTGACTTCCCCACTAAGCTGTGAACTTTTATCCAAAGCCTGTTTGTTGTTCATCTGGTTATTTTCAACACCTAGTCAAGGCCTAGCATTTCTCTCACTTTGTGTAATTGGATGTTTTTAGATGGATGGAATGCATCAATCATGTGGTAGTGTAAATAGATGCCTCTAATATGATGGGTATAAACAGTGCAGTGAGATCAAAGGGCAGTATAAGCATCATAAAGGAATTGGTTGATTAAGACTGGGGTTGCAATATGAGGAGGTAGAGGATCAGCAGTGGCTGTGAAAGGAGGCATTTAACCATGTGTTGGAAGGATGAGTGAGATTTCAACAGGCACACTGTAGAAAAGGATATTATAATACCTTTTTTTTTTTTAATTTTTAACGTTTATTTATTTTTGAGACAGAGAGAGACAGAGCATGAATGGGGGAGGGTCAGAGAGAGAGGGAGACACAGAATCCGAAACAGGCTCCAGGCTCTGAGCAGTCAGCACAGAGCCCGACATGGGGCTCGAACCCACGAACCATGAGATCATGACCTGAGCCGAAGTCGGACGCTCAACCGACTGAGCCACCCAGGCGCCTCCCCCCTTTTTTTTTTTTTTAAATGGAGAGTTAACATTGGTACCATCTTGGCAGTGAGAATCCAGTCCCCCCACACAGACGCACTCACTCAGGGTGTGTATGAGTGAATGAATCAGTCCATGAAAGCCTTCCTCAGCCAGCCGCCTGCTCTGCCCCCAGGTAGTCAAGTAAGTGGAACTGGCTTTCTTACTTAGGAACTTAAATGCTACTACCCACGGAGAGGGACTGGTGTTTGTATGTGTAAGCACTTAAAGGCTGCCACATTAGCTGGTATAAAATTAGCCACGTAATGGCCTCTGTCATTAGAGGCCCTTTTGAATAGATGCCACTGATTTTTATAAATCCCATGGATTTAGGTTGAATAAAAATTATTTGTTTTACAAAAATAGATACAGTTTTTTTCTTTTATTAAAAGCAACTTGAGTCACCATAATTTGTTTAAAACCAATGAAAGGATAATCTGAATTTAATAGTGTGTTAGAAAGTGAGTTATGTACAAAATAAGGATTCTCGTTGCTGATTGCATAGCATTTGGGCATATAGTCACGTAACCTGTTTTTTAAAATACTTTTAGTCACAGTAGGCCACCTATGCTTTCCAGCTTCATTTCTTGCCAATATTCTAAATGCCAGTGTCCATCTTTAACTCTTGATGGAAAACACTGGCTCTGACAATGATGTCTATAGTATTCTTATCACAGCACCAGCCATGATCAATTTCATCTACCTGCTCGTACACCTCCTGCTACCAGCTATCCCTTTGTCACATTTATTGTGTGCATTATCTCATTTAGCCTTCACAACAATGTTCGGAGTTAAGTGTGTAATTTCACTTTATGGTGAGGAAACGGGATCAGAGAGGTCACATCATCTTGCCCAAGATCACCAGAGCTAGTGGATAGCAAGGCTGCGTTTTGATTCTGAAGCCTATGGTGGGTTCCCATTTATTAGCCCCAGATGAAACATCCCAAAGTCTTTAAAGTGACGTCAGAAGACATGATTCCTGCTGCTTTTTACTGCTGGTAATCATTGTGAAATGATAGTTTTGCTTTTAAGACCACTTTCTTCTTCTGCAGGTGGAAAGAGAATGTTCTACCTCTGGCTAGTTTCATTCTAAGTTGAGTAATCATTTGGGAATTGAAAAATTAGGAAATTTCATCTTTTTTGTCTGTCCAAAAAATAGGATAAGATAGTGACTCAGCTACCCACCTTGATATTTTGAATTTCTCAAGGTGACCTGACTGAACTCAATTTATTTAACTTGGGTTTAAAAGGAGGCTCTCACATTTCTGATTAAAGTTATTTACAATTTTAGAATATATAGACTTAATGATGAAAATATGAATACCTTTTTCTATATTTAAAGAAAAATACCCAAGGGCTGTGCTTTTATTGTATTTTATTTTATTTTATTTTTGTTGGGGTTTGCTTTTAGTTTTAGATAAATGCAGTTTTTTGTCAAGTGTTATCCTTTTTCAGAAATATTTTTTAAATATCCAGGATTAATCTTCCGATATTAAGATGATTCATTTCTCAGTGATGTTAAGTGTTTATTTGATTTCACTTTAATTAAAGTAAAACAAATAGATCATTATTAAATGTTCTGAAGAAACCATAAAATTAATCTAAAAACAAGAGAATCAAAGTAAATTCTTACTTGAAAACTAGGTACTGTCTATACATCTCCTTTTCTGAATCATGGGTTTTTTAAATATTAAGTTTGTTAACTACATGGGCAAAAATAGACCATTGGATGCCAGGGGCTTGGGTAGGGGGAGGGTTTGACCACTAAAGAGCAGCACAAGGGAGTTTCTTGGAGTGACAAGACTATTCAGTATTCTGATTATGATGGTGTGTGGGCCTCAGACTCGTAACACTGAATACCGAAAGAGAAAAACTAATACTTACCTTGATTATATTATACAGTGGTTGCATGGGTGTACACATTTGTCAAAACTAATTGAACACTTAAAATGGGTGAATTTAGTTGTATGTAAATTATACCTCAGTAAAGTTGCTTTTTAAAAAAAGTCCCTGGCTCCCCATAGGGCAGTGCTGAAAATACTACTAATATATTAAGTCTGTGTCGAGACAAAAAGAAGGTCTCGGTAGGGAGAAAGGATTGAGGTTTCTCTACTTGGACTGGATTTCGCTCAACATTTATTAACTTGCTCAGTGTTTATCACCATTCTCATCTGTACAGTGGGAATAACAATTTCCTGGCCTCCTACCTCCCAGGTTTGTAGTGTCCAGGCTTGTAAAGATTAAATTGACAAGTTCTTTAAAAAGGACAAAGCACTTTTTAAATTAGAAGCCTTATTTTTCAGACAGAAGCCTTCTCTTATACCTGCCTCTGGTTGATTTTACTCCCCGGCACCGTTTGAGAGATGGTTGAGAAGGATGAATGATGAGTATGAGCCCAGCCTGTTTGGACCTGTCCCTCTTGGCCATTGCCAAATGCAGGGCAGCCCCTGCATCTCATTCATATCTGTTCAGTGAACATCCTGTGGGCCCTAACTCTATGCCAGGCCCTGGGCGATACGCTATGTGGAACACATTGAGAATAAAGACTCATCCTCTACCCATAAAGAGCAGAGATCACTGTGATACAAGCACAGTGTGAGAAATGCTATAAGGAAGGCTCAGGCCCAGTGTGAGGGGAACAGAAGCTGGAGCAGTTCATTTCAGCTTGGGCTTTTATAAGAGGCATGTCACAAGGAGGTAGCTTGTGAGCTGGTGGCATTCAGGGGCCACCTCCTCCCCAGGATGAGTCCTTTATGTTGTGCAGCACCATCACATAATTATTGAGCAATTAGTTGGTACCAAGGACTGCAAAAGTGAACCAAAAATGGATTTTCATAGAACCTGTGGTCTTCATTTTTTTGCTCATTAAACACTGTTATGTCAGACTCCGTGCCAGGAGTGTGGTATGCAGTAGCCGAGAGTCACTGCTTTGGAGTGGCTCCTTGTCTCTTGGGAGAGCTCAACAGCAAATGGACTGTTACCTAACTGAAATTGAGGCTATGTTCGTGGTAACCCTGGCTGGGCTCTGGAGGAGCATAAAGGAGCACCTGTTCCATCCTTGGTCTGGGAAGACATACTAAAGGAGGTGATGTCTGAGCTGGACCTGACCTGAGTCACTAGTGGAAATTAGTAGGTGAAGAAGGTGAAAGTTGGGGTGGAAGGGTAGTCTAAGCAGAGGAAAAAGCATGTGTGTGTAGAGAGGCACAGAAGAGGCAATAGAGTATGTTTGGCAGCTGCTCAATGTGGCTGGAGGGGCAGGGCTGTGTGGAGAGGGGTACAGTTTACTGTGTAAGAAGAGGAACAGGAAGAGGCTTTAGCAAATTCAGCCAGCAGCCTCCCCAGGACCTTGGGGCACACCCAAGGGTATGCAGGGCCTCCAGAGCTAATGCTGCTTGAAATGAGGCTTCTCTGCTTCCCGTACAGGGGCCCCTCCCTAGAGTTCAGCCGGGCTCCACGTTCAGCACTCCAGGGCAAGCTCCATTAGCTGCCTATAGACAGGCGGCCGGTTTCCCTGCTGCTCTCCCACCACCAAGCTCACACAACCCCTCTAATTAGTTATTGATCTGTTTTGTTGTGGCTTTGCTTCCCGCTCCTGTATTTAGTCGATTCCCAAGTTAATGAAACCAAATTCTATAACCCCCACGCATGCTTCTGCACATACTCCCCTCCACCCCAACCTCAGTCACTTCTGTCCTTGCTACCACTCCAACAAAATGGATCCAAACAGAGACCGCTAAAATGAGCTTCACTCCTGCTAATAGGCAGTGGAGAAGCAGGTGTCCCTGGAATCAGATGTAGAGTACACCTGTTAATTTTATCAGGTCAAGGCTCCTGGAGATGAGATTCCTTCCATGGTGGAATGTGGGCTGGCCACAGCACTAGACTGATGTGGAACAAAGAGCTTCTCCCACCTTCATGCTCCTGTGTCTGTAGGGTAGTCTGGAAAAAACTACCCTTTCCCTTCTGCGCGGTTTTTATCCAGTCATTTAACTCCTCTTTGCCTCCATTTCCATAAAATAGGCATTCTGGTGTGTCTTTCCAGGGCATTGTGAGGATCTGTTGGGATATTCTGAAACTTCTTTGAAAACAGTAAAATGATATGAGAAAGAGTAATGAGTTTGCTGTTACTCTTAGAAGTAATTGGGATCCAGGAAAATCACATGTAGAGAAAATTACTGTTCTGCCCCCTACCCATGGTTATATCAGATGAAACCGAATTAAAAAGAACATCAAAACAAGGGATTAATATCCAGAATATATAAAGAACTACAGTAACTCAACAATAACAAAAACCTGACTAAAACTGGACAAAGGACTTAAGTAGACATTTCTCCAAAGAAGACATACAGATGGCCAGTACATCTACATGAAAAGGTGCTTAACATCACTGCCCATTAGGGAAATGCAGATTAAGACTGCGGTGAGATACCACTTCATACCCATTACGGTGGCTATTACTAAAAAATAATGGGGGCACTTGGGTGGCTCAGTCGGTTGAGTGTCCGACTTGGGCTCAGGTCATGATCTCACAGCTCATAAGTTCGAGCCCTGCGTCAGGCTCTGTGCTGACGGCTCAGAACCTGGAGCCTGCTTCAGATTCTGTGTCTCGCTCTCTCTCTGCCCCTCTCCCACTCTGTCTCTCTTTCAAAATAAATAAAAAAATTTTTTAATAAATAAGAAAAAATAACAGATCTTGGCAATGATGTGAAGAAATTAGAACCCTTGTTCATTGCTAATGGTAATGTGAACCGGTGCAGCCCCTGTAGAAAACATATGGTGGTTCCTCAAAACATTAAGCAGAATTACCTCATGATCCAGAAATTCCACTTCTAGGTTTATACCCCCCAAAATTAAAAGCAGGGACTCCTGTCATGTCACAGTAGCATTATTTATAATAGCCAGAAAGTAGAAACAACCCACATGGTCATTGACAGGTGAATGGGAAACATAATGTATATGCATACAATGGAGTATCAGCCTTATAAAGGGAGAAAATTTGGATGCGTGCTACAACATGAATGAACTTTGAGGACATTTCATGCTAAGTGAAATAAGCCAGGCACAAGAGGACAAGTACTGTATGGTTCCACTTGTACAAGGTACCTAGAGCAGACAAGTTCATGGAGACAGAAGGCAAAGGGTGACTTCCGGGGGCTGGGGGAGGGGCAATGCGGAGTTAGTGTTTAATGGGTACAGAGTATCATTTGGGGGGGGATGAACAAATTCTGAAGATGGATGGTGGTGATGGTTATATAGCAATGTGAACGTAGTTAATGCCACTAAATTGTACACTTAAAAATGGTCAAAATGGTAAATATCATGTGTATTAGTTTTTCAAACGATAATGTAAAAAATGGTTAAATTGGTAGGTTTTGTGTTACGTGTGTGTTACCACAGTTTCAAGAGAAGAACCTCAAAGACAACTTTCAAAGGGAATAGAAACCTCAGTCTGGCAGCCTGTGGCCCATGTAGATTAGAGCAGCGGTTCCACCTCGTTGGCATCGGGCCTGTGACTTTATGGACACAGGGGCTTGCTTATAAGCCCTCCAAGCCTTTCTTGATACCAGCTGGTGTAGTTATTGTCCAGGTGCCCAGGAGAGCACCTCAGGGGACCAGGCCTGGGTGATGGCCCCACTGGCCTTACTCTCAATGGGGCATCTCTGCCCAAGATAGTAATTTTCCATTCTAGTCCTGCCCCAGCTTCTCAGCTGGGTTTGGACCTTCTTTCTTGGTTTGGGGGGAGCACAGCAGGTGGCCTGGGCCTGTGCCAGCAGCAGCTGATCCACCCGCCCCAGAGAGCTGAACACCATGAGGAAATTTCCACAGCTTTCTCGGCCCCCACTGTGTTCTCAGGAGTGACTTATCCTCTGTTCTCTGTAGGTTTTCTTTTCCTCCGCCTGCAGCGTTGCCGTGGATGCCACCCTGAGGCAGAAAGCTGAAAAGTTCCAAGCTCACCTGACCAAGAAGTTTCGGTGGGACTTTGAGGCAGAGCCAGAGGACTGTGCCCCAGTGGTGGTGGAGCTCCCTGAGGGTGTGGAGACTGGCTAACGGGGAATACTGTCAGCCAGGGGAGGCCCCTTCCCACACAGCTGAGTCCTGGCCTCTCCATTCATCCCTTCCTACCGGGACCTGTAGGGGTAGTGGCCCCACCAGGTTCTGCAAAGTTAGAGCCAGAATTCCCTCTTTTACCAGTAAATAAGTTTCTTCAGTACCAAAGAGGCTATGTGCATCCTGAGGGCACATTCATGGGCTCCCATCAGCCTGGCCATGGGACTAACCTAACTGAATTCTAAATGGGCTCTTATAGAAGCTCTCGGGAGAGACCTGCCTCAGCAGCACCCTACTTCATTCTGAATGAGAAGAATGTGAGCCAAAAACCCAAGAGAACTGATAACTCATTCCATAGGATGGTTAGAAAACAAGACACCCTGGACTGCACAGGGTCTGAGATATCCGTTGGTGACTTTAAAAGTTAACTAGAAGTTCCTAGGGAAATGAGCTAGAATTTCTGTCTGTCCCTTGTTGAATGGGAACATGTCACAGAAAACACAGGCCTGTGACCACTCAGGAGCTCCAGATTGGGAGGGGGAACCCAGAAGACAGGTGGGTTGAGTCTGACGAGTGGTCAGCTTTTGCTTTCTCCGTCAACATCCCTTCCTCCTGTCCAGAGGTCCCAGTGGGTAATCATCCAAGACTGTTGTGGCCCCTGACCTCAGGGGCCTTGCTGATGCCACGTTCCTCTCTTCCATTCCACTCTGAGGCCTCAGTCCCAGAAGTGGGACTTGGCAGCCCCTCTGTACATCCCCATTCCTCACCAGAGCCACCATGACTATTTCTGATGACCTGGAGAGTCAACAACAAAGAGGAAGGTTCTTGCTCAGAATAGGCTTCTTTGGCCCTGCTGAAGTTCTCTGTCTGTGTTCAGAGTTCTGGAGATGACCTGACCCACCTGGATCTTCCCAGTCCTGCTGTGGAGCTGTCAGCCACAGAAGTAATGATGCTCCCATTCCCTTGGAGTCCTGAGGGTGTACCCACATACATGGGTCCTGCCACCCTGACCTCAAACCGTTGTACTACGATCAGAATCCCTGCGCCATTCTTTTCCAAGGCTGCGGCTCATACCAGGTTTCTGAATGAGAATCCGTGCTGGTTAAGACTTTTGGTTCCATTTGTTTCCTTGGAGATGTTTTTCCAAGAGCATAACATACATTAAAGTCTTTGAGTTGAGATTAAATCCCCTTGTGTGAGTCTCTCTTGCAGTTAATTTGCCCAGTTCTCAGCTGCCAGGCCACTGTCCATAGACCCACATCTCCCTACTGAGCACCAGGAGACTGCCCAACATCTTCAGTCTCTGGAGGAGGCAAGCAGCCAGCTTTGCCTGCTGTGACCAGTGGGGCTTCCGAGATAGGCATACCTGAAAGGATCGAGGCCCTGTAGCTTTATAATAACCAGAAGTTCCTCCTTGTGTGAATTTGCTATTCTCTTCCACCCGAAGCCCACTCATCAGAACTACCTGGGGAGCTTGTTAAAAGTACGCATTCCAAAGGAATGAATTACTAGTCCATGCTACAACATGGATGAACCTTGAAAACATTGTGCTGAATGAACAGAGCCAGACAAAGGCCACCCATTACATGACTGCATTCATATGAGTTGTCCAGGATCCACAGAGAGAGAAGTTAGTGGTTGCCAGGCACTGGGAGAGTGGGGAAGGGGGTTGACTGCCAATAGCTCCGGGGTTTCTTAGGTGATAGAAAGGTTCTGGAGTTAGCGAGTGGTGATGGCTGTACCACCTTATGAATATACCCAAAAAAACCCCACTGGAAGTGCACACCTAAAAATGGTGAATTTTATGCCATGTAAATTATATCTCAATAATAACTTTTTAAAGTACATATTTCCAAGTCCCACCCCACAGGGATTCAGAGGCTGTGAATCTGGATATGGCCTGGGTCCTGTGGCACACTCAGTTTTGAGTAACTACCCAGAAGTAACAGCATTGCAATTTAGTACTTAGAGTTCCATTGGGACAGAATTTGTGTCCTCCTGGCATTGTCAGATCAGCGTCTGGAAGTTGGGTCATGTGACTATGTTCTTCAAGCTGTTGGTCTGCTATCTACACAGACCCACTACCCCCTACAACCCACACAAACAGGGATTAAGAAAAAGTAACCACTATTTGCTAAGTGTTCTGTTAGTTCACTTAATCCTCACAAAAATATGGGCTAGGTGCTACTATTATCCTCATTTTACTGTAAGAAAATGGGCTCAGAGACCTTCAATCATTCTGCCGGCGTCCCACAGCTAGTAAGGATTGAGCACAAGAGTCAAGCCCGAGCCCCTTGGTGGCCAGAGCCCACACTCAGCTGCTGTGTTCACTGCTGTGATGTACTCTCTCCCTGCCCTTGCAGGTCTAGGACAGCCTTCCCTTCTCCCTGCTTCCCGGATCTAGGCCTGGCCCTGTTGCTAGCCAGCTGTGTGAAGTCGGACAAGTCACTTCCTTGGGCCTCGGTCTACTTACATATAAAGTAAGAGAGTTTGCTTAGATTTGGGGTTTCTGATGTAGATTCTCCAGGCTCCCTCAAGAATTTAAAAGTGGACCATTGTGTTATTTTAAATGTTTTCAACAGGGAAACTACATTTGCACAGGATAATGTGTCCGGACTGACAAAAAACCAATAGGTCTCTTGTTTGGGGCCGGAGTGACATCGACTCTGTCTCCTGCTGGTCACAGCTGGCAGTCCTCTATGTGTCTTTGATGAATAAAAAATGTGAAAACAAATTAATTATTACTTAATACTTGCAATATTTCTGGAAGGCAGAAACCTTGCAAATGGAGAGCCAGTGGCCTTGCTGATCTGTAAGCTCCTTCCACTTCTAACACATCTAAAAGTGAAGCTGTTGGCAGGACCTGGCCTGATTTCCAAATCCCCTCAAATGCAGGCCTCCTGAGGCCTGGCTCTTATTTGCAAGGCTGCTTTATCCTATTAACAGAATCAGCAGAGGTAGCAAGTCTCCAACCACTCCCGCTGTCCCCACGACAACCCTTGCTGATCTGAGCCCATCCGTCTAATTTGTCACTGCTTGAGCGGTGGGGGAGTTCCCCGCCGCTGACTGCCTCTCACCATCGATAATTACTTTCCCAACGTCATCCCCTTGTAAATATTATTTAATATTCTCAGGGCACCGTGACATGTCAGTTTCTCCAACTAATCAGACTCTGGCTTGGCCAAAATGCCCTGCTGCAACGGGGGCTGGAAATGCACGGTGAATGTCTGGGCAAAGCCGTCACTGAGTCACATCCCCGTGACATCCACCGGATCCAAAGCAGAATGGAGTGGGACGCTCACCTGAGCTACCTGCTGATAACTGGGGGCGGTGTGGTCCTGTGATTCCGCAGGTCCGCTCCTCTCCTCGGTCCCCAATAGACCAGGGCACCTCTATGCCTCAGAGTCCCATACATCTGGCCCAGGCAGGCTTTGTTTTCACTAGAACATTCTACCTCTGGAGTATCCAGGGTCTCCTTGCTGGCTCATGCTGGCTCATGCTGGCTCATTCTCCCCCAACGCTGGGCTCCTGCCCTGAACTGGCCTCCCTGCTGAGATGGGGGCTGGGGGTGATGAGAGCCAGAAATAGTGTCGGCTGTTCCCTGCTGGGGGGAGGGGTGTGTCCCCAACCTGCCAGGCCTTCTGTCCTGCATCCTCAATCTGGTGCTCACTGGTATAACAGGGTTATCTCCAGGTTTCTCTGGAGAACAGGAATCTTGGGAGTTATCGGTTAAAATGCTTGGTGGGAGGAAGGTAGGAGAAGTAGGGGGCTTCTCAGATGGCCTGTGTGAAAGAAACTGCACAGGTCTTTCCTCCTTGGTTCTTTGTCTATCTTCTCCCCTCCCCAGATTTCTCTATTTTTCCTGTGTCGCCTCCAGACATTTTTACCTGGCTCAGGTCAGGACTCTACTTCTAAAGGGATCCTGACAGATAGGTTACATTTTGGGGAGAGGGAGCTCTTACGTGAGAAGCAGTTGGAGAAACATGTGGGGTCTCACCCATGAGCAGAGAGGCTGGGGGAGCTATCTTGACGGAGGAGGTCTCTGTGCCCTTCCGAGTGCAGAGCTGGGAACCATGGGAGAAGTTACAGGGAGGCTGCCGTGGGCTCTGTTCCTTCTTCATCCAAACAGTACTTTCTGAGTGCCTGCCCCGGTGAGCTTACGCTCATTTGGAGGGGAGGGGCAGACAACAAGCATAAGAAGTAGGTTACAGAGATTGTTAGTTGTAAGAAATGCTCTGGCAAAAACTAGAGCAGGATAAGGGACATTGAGAGTGCTGGGAGGGTAAGAGGAGATGTTGCAATTTAAATGGGGTGACATTTGAGCACAGATTTGAAGGTGAGCAAGGAGCCATGTGGGCATCTATGGGAAGAGCGTTCCAGGCAGAATGAACAGGGAATGCAAAAGCCCTGGAGCAGGAGCATGCCTGGTGGGTTACGGGAACACCGGGGGTCACTATGGTGAGAGCACAGGGAATAGCTGGAGAGGAAATCTGGGCAGCCACAAGGGATCAAATTGTCCAGGGCTTACGGGCTGTAAGCATTTCACTCAGTGAAATGGGGACCCATTAGAGGGTTTTTAGCAGAAGAGTGACGTGGTCTGACTTTTGTTTTAACAGGATCACAAGCTGCTGCGTTGGCCGCAGACTGCCAGGGTAGAGGGGTGGGAGTGGGGACAGCGGTAAGGAAGCTAGAGTGGTAACCCAGGTGACAGAGGGTACTGACTTGGGCCAGATTGCTGTCAGGTGTACATATTGGACTGCATTCCTGCCTCAGATGAAGGATGCACTGGAGGCCTTTCGAGGGCTCTTCTAGCCTGATAAGCCCTTACTTCGCTGCAGTCTCAGAATCTAGGCACAATACTGACTCGTGGGGTCCCCATCCCCACACAAATGCCCTCTCTCCTGTCCCATCAGGGATCTGTCAGCCCTTCCCATTCCCATATGTCTGTGGTATATCTGGGCCGGTGGGGCATGAGGAAGGATTGGGGGGAGGGGGCAGCT